TCAATTCATAAGATGCTAGGCACGTGAGAAAGTAGTTTCAGCTATGTCAGTCCAAAGAGCATTGAAAAAAAAAGACTTGAAAATGTAATAGTATGTGAAACCTGTGAGGCACCTTGTTACTCCATGACAGAAAGTTAGGTATTTAGAGAGGGCGAAGATCATCTTGAATAAGTTGGAAAATGAGATCAAACACACATTTTATATATATATATATATATATATATATATATATATATATATATATATATATATATATATAAAGCTTGCTTTCGATCCTTAGATATTATTAATTAATGATGAACATGTCACTTTCGTTTATGATCGATTTCATCACTATAAATCTGTTAAGCTTAGAGAGTAATTATACATTCTTATTGCTCAAAGTAGAGTCCGATAGTCTTATAAAAAACCTCGGAGAATTCCAGTAAAATATCTTTAATCATTTCTAAGCTACAACGGTTCAGAGCTTAATCTAACAATTGGACAATTTTGCTGTTACACCCGGTACTTTTTTAAGCGCTCGATCTGTAGATGTACGTATATATATTTATTTTATTACTGAAACCTTATTTTTAGTGGATATCCATATTTGAGTAGACTCTCTTTTTATTTGTTGAACAGTATATTTATTTATTTTCGTCTACTGGCCTGAATATTCTAGAAATCTTATTAAAGAAAAATCATCTTTCCAGCAGGATCCGATCCTGCCCCCACCCCAAACGGCATTTGAAATCATGATTAGACCTGACGTACCTTAATCGTCTCGGCCACGAGGTGTGTCGGTGATCAAGCAAAGTTGAATAAAGCCTTTAAACGCAAATCTTTCCTAGACTCGAAAAAGACATATCCGCTCAATTTCCTATCCTAACGTAAACAAAGCAATTTATAAAGAAGTGATGGATTTTTATTTATTAAAGATATGTGTTTGCTTGAGAGAGAGAGAGAAGGAGATGAAGAGAGAGAAGGAGATGAAGAGAGAGAGAGAGAGAGAGATGAAGAGAGAGAGATGAAGAGAGAGAGATGAAGAGAGAGAGAGAAGGAGATGAAGAGAGAGAGAGAGAGAGAAGAGAGAGAGAAGGTGAGAGAGAGAGAGAGAAGGTGAGAGAGTGATTTAAGGAGGGTGATTTAAATTTGCATGGGAATTCGATGGAATGGTAAATATATGACAATTTGGGAAAACATTTGTGGACATGTTTCACCGATGAAACGACGTTATTAGAAAATCGGATTTTATTTCATCGAAAAATCACAAGATCACGTGATTTCTATTCAACATATTAACGCTTTGATTATTTTTATTTTACCTTATATTATTTTTCGGTCAAGCTAGCTCGGACATTCAGGAGTCTATCACGCCAACAATCAACGGTCCTGCATCAAAGGTCGGAAGGTCATTTGGGTAGCATTCTATATCATAATATGATATTTGGTCAATGTAGTTGGTTGCCGGGCGACCAACCAGTCTTACGCCATGGTTAGGTGCCCAGGAAAATTCTTGTTGTTCTCTTTGATATTCTTTTTATGATTCTTGAACAGTAGATGGTATTCCGTGACTGTTTCTTCAACATAATTTCCTTTTTTTTTTGCATTTGCATTTGCGCCAGAAAAGCAAATATATAAGATTTGAACAATCACAAATCAGAACCGGTGGTTTGAATATTGTGTGAGTGCCGGTGGGTGATGTTGAAAAGGTTATCATGGCATCGGGGTTTATTCGTGAGGTGGTGATATATACATGTCGGATGATAAGAGAGTGTGTAGGTTGGGTGCCAGAGCAGTAGATCATTCGCAGGTTTTTGTTTTGCACGCCAGCAGAGCACTGTAAGGTGAATTCTACGTTCGCGTAAGTTTGTAGAAATATCAGGGGTGGGTCCATAGAACTGTGATTTAGTTGGATGCTGTCCCCAGGAGATGTTGAGTATAGTTTTCAGCATCCGAATGTAGATTCCATCAAGCTTAGACTCTAAGGTTTTAGTTAATATCCAAGCAGTGGCACTATACATTAAAACCGACTCTACAGTGGCACAAAAGTAGCTCCGTTTGAGGTTTTCTGGTAGATCAGATTTCCAGATTACATCCATTTTATTCAAAGCAGTCCAAGCATTAGCTATGCAAATTTTTACATCCTTTTCAGTAGAATTTATTTTGCTTTCTAGGTATGTAAAAGATTCGACACATTTTATTAATTCACCTGAGACAGTTTGTATTGAGTTTTGCTGGTTGAAAGTTAGGAGTTCAGTTTTAAAGACATTGACATGAGTCCAACATTGTTAGCAGAAATTTCTAGATGATGTAGGAGAACTGTGGTAATGGCGTCTGCAGTGACAGCTAGGTCATTTGGATGATCAATGTAGGTTAACATTTTTTACGGGTTATCAACACTAGTTTTTATGATACTCATTTAGGTTTTTATCTTAACTCTATAGATTTTTTTTTCAATTAGATTTCTTTGATTTCAATTCCGCTTTTGTTATTATAAGATTTTAGTATCTCACTTTGTTTCAACATCAGTTCAATAAGAACAAATAATAAACTGAAATAACTCGGTTGTATATCAATCGTGGATCAATGCACTTCCAATATCTTCGTCTGATTAAATTATATTCATTTTATCATTATAGGAATTTTAATTTATTTTAACTGTTTTTGATTTCAATGCATTTATTTATAGATTCATTTGTTATAAAATTCTTAAAATGTTAATTTATTAAGAAAAATCTAATAAACTAAGATCCGCCGGTCGTATATGATTCATAGGGGGATTTGTGGATCATGATATTTTGAATGTTTCTTCGTCTGATTAAATTTTCTTCATTTTTCAATTTACCTTTGCTTCGATTTTAAAAACGTCAAAATGGTTAAATTTATTTATGAATCCTGAATAAATTTTTGAATCAGCCATATCAGGATTCAATTTGTTTCGTCTAAAAGTTGGCTCTTATAAAATGTCGCCTTTTTTGGCCAATTTAGAAGCTTCTTTTTTTTTCTTACTTCTTAATAATAGAAATACGAAGGGAATGAGGATGATTCACTCTTGTGGATGTGGCAGGATGTGTCTCAGTTGTAAAGGTCGGGGGCTCGACAGAACATACGCCATGAAAGTAGCGATAGAGACACGAGAGGCTAGCAACCGTGCATCTGTGGAAATGGGTTACAAGGTATAAAAAAAAAAATTTAGTAAGAAAAGGTCAATAAACTGAGATGGGCCGGTCGTATATGATTCATAGGGGCGAGGGTTCATGGATGATGATACTTTGAACGTTTCTTCGTCTAAGTAAATTAATTTTATCTTTTACTCGACTTTATTTTGTAACACCGTATCTTCATCTCACTGGATACACGCACTGCACACGATCGCTCGTTGGTCCCGTACAGTCCAGTATTACAGGTGAAACACAAGTCTCCGGTTCCCAATGTCAATTCGAAGTCACCCTCTAGCCGCGTTGTGATTGTTTTAATCCTGGAGAGTGGTCATCAGATCGTAGAAACCCGGAAGCTCACCTTTGGTCCACCTGTGACTTTGTCAGGTGAGAATCGGGTTAACAGAAAAATAAATATAACCAAGTCGACTCGATTTTGAAAGGACAAAAGTTATATATATATATATATATATATATAAATAAGCAAACACACACACATACATAAGTAATAATTCTTCTTGCACAAGGTTGAATGTTTCTTGTATATGAACAATAACCAATCAAACACAAAATACCTCGGAATATTTCTGTAAAGGAGAGATGTGTGTCTATATTTCTGAGATGAGATATTATTTACATTATTTGGACTATTGTCCTCATCTTTCTCGCCATATTTATCACAACGTTTCGCCCTTTCAGTATCTGTCTATATTTCTGAGATGAGGTATTATGTACATTATTTACATTATTCGGACTATTGTCCTCATCTTTCTCGCCATATTTATCACAACGTTTCGACCGTTGTACGCTCCGGCCTTCTTCAGGTGGTTGGAATGTCGAACTGAACCCTTTATTTCGCTCACTGTTCTAGTTCGAATAACCAAGATTAACATTAATTTTACATTTCAAGGTCTTTACAACATATTAACATCTTGGTTATTCGAAAACGTCTTTCACTTGGTGTTTTCTGTTTTACAGCATATTCTCCTTTATCATCATTAGTATTATTTCAGGGGTGATTATCGCCACTGCCCCAATTTTAATTTTACTTCGATTTTAAAAAATGCCAAAATTGTTTAGTTTCTGAATCCTATATAATTCTTGAATCAGTCATATCAATTTGTTTCATCAAAAAAGTCTTTATAACGCATTACTTTTTTTTTTGCTAAAATAATACTTAAAGAAAACAGGATTAAAATATAGACGACTTAAACACATTGATTAAAAAAATTAATTATAATTTTCTTATTTTAATTTAATTCTATGTTTTTCTTTAACACCTAAATATTATCATAATTCAAATATCCCACATTTCAGTTCTAATTTAACAAAAATAGATGATAAGCTAAAATAGTTCAGTCTTATATCAACCGGAGAGGAGTTTTATCACGGCACTTTCAATAAATCTTCGGCTGAGTAAATTCATTTTTATTCAACAGAACTGAATTTTTCAGGTCAAAATTGGGATCACAAAGTTATCGGTGGTATACCTCGCACTTTGTGTGCCGTTCAAGTTCATTTTGTGTTCGTATATTCTTTGGGACAGATTTGCGAGTGGAATCAATAATGGTAATAACAGACATACAATAATAAAAGACCAAAGATTGCATGGCGCAGATTTCTACAAGAGTTCCACACAAGGAATCATAAGCGTGTCACTTTAAGGAAACCATCCGAAAACGAGATTACATTACCAAAGGCAGAATGTGTGAATGCACTCAAAGGATTTGGCTAAAAACAGGAATTTCTCCAGCACTTCCTCAGATGAGGGTGGGATGGGGTTTTGAACTGTAGATGCAAGTGCTTACAATGAAAAGATTTTCTGCAGGATGATTAAAAAAAACAAAAAAACACGAATTTCTAAAAAGAAAAGAAATACAAAAAAAAAAAGAGGAAAAGAAAAATACAAAAAAAAAAGAGGGAAAAGAAAATAAAAAAAAAAAGAGGGAAAAGAAAAAAAAAAAAAAAGGGAAAAAAAAAAAAAAAAAAAGAAAATAAAATAAAAAAAAAAGAGGGAAAAGAAAATACAAAAAAAAAAAAAAGAGGGAAAAGAAAATACAAAAAAAAAAAAAGGGAAAAGAAAATACAAAAAAAAAAAAAAAGGAAAAGAAAATACAAAAAAAAAAAAAAAAAGAGGGAAAAGAAAATACAAAAAAAAAAAAGAGGGAAAAGAAAATACAAAAAAAAAAAAAGAGGGAAAAGAAAATACAAAAAAAAAAAGAGAGGGAAAAGAAAATAAAAAAAAAAAGAGGGAAAAGAAAATACAAAAAAAGAGAGGGAAAAGAAAATACAAAAAAAAAAAAGAGGAAAAGAAAATACAAAAAAAAAGAGAGGGAAAAGAAAATAAAAAAAAAGAGAGGGAAAAGAAAATACAAAAAAAAAGAGGGAAAAGAAAATACAAAAAAAGAGAGGGAAAAGAAAATACAAAAAAAGAGAGGGAAAAGAAAATACAAAAAAGAGAGAGAAAGAAAAAACAAAAAGAGAGAAAGAAAAATCAAAAAAGAAAGAGAAAAACAAAACGAATATAAAAACAAGAAGGAAAAAGAAAAGAAAAATGAAGAAAAACGTATCGTCTATTAAAATACAGCTATTAACTAAAAATAATACTTAAAATGACATTTAAAATACAAGGTGGTCTGAAAGTATTGTCACCCTCATATATTTTCTATTTCCTATGGCTGACATCAGCAACTATGGTTTGGAAGAGAGGCTTAGGAAGACAAGATTTTCGGATCACCTTGTATGTAACTTTAATAGATAAAAACCCATTACTTCTTTAGAAATTACTAACGTTCACGCAATTTAAGGCTCAAGAGCCACTCGCTATTGGGATTCACTGTTAAATGCTAATAACGAATGCGGTGTGTGATATGAATGAAAAAACAGGTGATAGGAAATAAAGACAATGAGGAGAAATGATCGTTGACTTGAAGAGGTTGTTTTTAGTGGTCAAGGAAGCACCTACTCGGGAGCCGGTTCCATAAAGTAGCACTTCTTTACTTTTTCGCTAAACACTAACACTTTGTGGGACAGGCTGGATAATTGGAACTTCATCTTTACTTTTGGAACACGGGGGAAATATAGACGATTCGACTCACTGGAAGTCGCATGGTAGTAAATGTCTAAATTGGCGGAGGTAAAGAATGGAGCGTTCATCTGAACATTTGACAGTTTCCATATTTTATATCAATATACTAGATCATGCTGAAAGTTTTCAATACAACCTCATCCAAGATTCTTTGTTGGAATTAACTTTTCAGCACCCCTCGCATATATTATTTGATTAATATAATTTTCTCTACATCTATTAGTAGTCCTGGGTATAACGATAAACTACATCCGGCAGCAAGGTCTCTGGTCGGAAGATTGGAGATATTGAGGATCATGGGACCACATCTTAATTGCTGTTGTTACCCAGTCCACCCTGACCCAGGGTGGTAACAACTGTTATGGTCCCAGCTATGGGCAATTAGTGACCCCCCCAAAAAAAAATAGTTTGAAAGTATAAAAATACATCTTTATAGCAAAATGACCGACAATAAATTCTATAGCAAAATGACCGACAATACATTTTATCTCTAATTGAGGACATAAAATTGTGTTCCAAATGTTTAGATTTGGACATTAAATAACCCATAGCGTCCTTCCCTCTCAGTCCTTCTTTCATTCTGTGATTCTGTCTCCATCTTTTCTCCTTCCATTTCTATTTCGTTTTTGATTCCTTCCATCCTGCCTTCATCTTTTTTTTTCTTACCTTTCAGTCCTGTTTTCATTCTTTCCTTTCTATAGCAATCTCCTGCTTTTCCCATTCTCCTTTCCTTTCTATGTGCTCCTTCCTTCCATCTTGTGCTACTTTTTTACCTCCTTTTTAACCCTCTTTCCTTTCTATCTTCTGCTTCCTTCCTTTCAGTCCTTCTTTCATTCTGTCTATTCTATCTCCATCTTTTCTTCTTTCATTTATATTTCGCTTTTCCTTCCTGCCTTCATCTTTTCTTTCTTTCTTTCTATAAAGTGGCATCTATTTTTTCTTTTTCTTTCTTTCATTCAAATCTCGTTTATTATTTCTTTAGTTCATTCTTTCTTTACTGCTTTTTTTTCTAAACCTTTCTTCCCTTCTATTACTTTTCTTTCTTTCTTTTCTGAAGCCATAAAATTGCATTCGAAATATTTACATTTTGGCATTAAATAACCCACAGAGGTGTTGATATGCCACTAAACAAAATCAACCAACCAACAAGAAAGAACTCTTCCATAACATTAATCCATATAATATCCTATACTTTCTTAAAGAAATCAAATTGTATTCTAAAATAACTGCAGCATAAAAGGCACATATGACCTCCTCTAGTAATTATGTACACACAAACATGTATATGCACAAAAGCTGAGTATCATTTACCATGTACTAAATTGCGAAAGCAGAATAACATTTTTATTACTTCAAAGCTCCCAAGAAAATTAAATTTCAACATTAAATGACCCATAAGGATGTTGATATGCCATTAAACAAACAAATCAGTCATTTTGTGGGAGGTGTTTCTGCCACACTATTTGTACTATGTCCCTTCAGAACATGAGCGATCATGTCTCTCCACAACTTCCTGTCCATTGTAACTTTACTCTCTCTCCTAACTCCTGTTCTGCCACCTATTTACATTAGGTATTTGCTGGTTTCCTCTATTTCTTTTGCTTTCAATATGTCCTGTGAGTATCAAGTACTCCAAGCCCTCTTTCCTCATTTATGTGCCTTAACATTTAAATTGTCTCTTTCTCATTCTAAGCATAAGTGTACTTTTTGTTTACATTTTCCTTAAAACATCCTTATAATACACGTCATAAAACTGTGTTCAAAATATTTACATTTCAGCATTAAATGACCCATAGAAGTGTTGATATGCCACTAAACAAAATCAAACAACCAACAAGAAAGAACTCTTCCATAACAATTATTCATATAATATCCTATAATTTCTTAAAGAAATCAAATTGTATTCAAAAATATAACTTCTATAAAACTACAGCATAAAACATCGATATTACTATCCCTGGTAATAATGTTCACATAAATATGCATGTGCACAAAAGCTGAGTTTCATCTACCATGCATTCAATTGCGAAAGCAGAATAACATATGATTTTTATTACTTCCAAGCACCAAATAAAATTAAATTCGGGCATTAAATAAGCCACAATGAGTTGATATACCGTTAAACAAATCAATTAATATGAACAGGCCTACACTGACTGAGGCAATGCTCTCTATTCTTTCAAACTGTTCATATATTATTGTTAGTGTCTGTACTACCTTACTTGGGGCGACACTGATTAAGGTTGATATACTGCTAAACAAAGTCAATCAACCAACAGCCCGGCTTGTCAAGCACCTGATGAAGGCCAGAGAGTGAATCTTTGAGATAGCAGAAATGAAGACAATGATCCGAATGTAAATTAATGTTGAGAGTGTTTTAGAAAAATGTAGAAGCACAAAAACTGAGTATCATCTACCATGTATTCAACTGTGAAAGCAGAATAACATAACTCCTAAGAAAATTAAATTCCGGCATTAAATGACCCATAAGGAGTTGATATGCCGTTAAACAAGAAAATCAATCAATCAATAATTCTTGAAACTTATTGTCTTATTTTATCTGTGGTTGAAGCCATAAAACTGTGTTCAAAATATTTAGATTTCGGCATTTAATAACCCATAGAGGTGTTGATATGCCACTAAACAAACTCAAACAACCAACAAGAAAGAACTCTTCCATAACATTAATCCATATAGTATCCTATAATTTATTAAAGAAATCAAATTGTATTTTAAAACATAACTTCAACAAAACTAATACATTTTATCTGCAGTTGAAGCCATAAAACTGTGTTCAAAATATTTAGATTTCGGCATTAAATTACCCATAGAAGTGTTACTTTAAAAAAAAAAAAAAATCTGCAATTACATTCAGATGAGCAAAAATGTTAACGATAATTAGCCCAAGCCTTATTTTGGCAACTTTCCTGGTAAGGGTAACATTAGCCGTTTCCTTATAAGGAAACATTCGGCATTCATCAACTGAGCAGCCAGTGCTATTGTCGGTTGAAATCTATAAAATTTTTCTCTTAAAACAATTTTTCAGGAGAATAGATTTCTCAAGTCCACTAGTTGTTATTGCTCTTTCTAGTATTGATGGGAATTTCCTTCCTAACCTTTTGTTTGAGACACTGAATCAAAACCTTACTAAGAGCAACAAAGAATAGGAATTTGTGGAGAGCCTTGATGATCACCCACATCCTGAAGAAGAATATGCTGTATGCTCTCTCCAGTATATATGGACAACCTAATTAATGACATGATGCATATACAAAGGAAGTTAAATAATAATGGAAACATTAGCTGCTTCCCTATAAGGAAACATTTGGCATTCCTTGAGTGAGCAGCTTGTATTAATGTCAGATGAAATTTATAAAATCTTTTTCTTAAAACAATTTTTCAGAAAAATAGGTTTTCCAAATCCAGTAGCTGTTATCGCTCTTTCTAGTATTGACGGGAGTTTACTTCATTATCTTTTGTTTGAGTGGTGTCAAAATGTCAAAGAGCAACAAAGAAGTTGAATTTGACATTCATTTGATGTTGTTGCATCCTGGAAAAGTAATATGCTGTATGTGGTTCCAGTATATTGGACAACCTAACTAATGACATGATGCATAGCCAACGAGGTACGAAGGTAAGATGACTTCCCGCCCTAAGACCTTGAGTGACACGTTTCATCTGATGAAATTTATAAAGTCTTTTTTAAAACAATTTTTTCAGAAAATAGGTTTTGCAAATCCAGTCGTTATCGTTTCTAGTATTGACGGGAGTTTACTTCATTATCTTTTGTTTGAAGTGGTGTGGAATGTCTGGGTCTTATGTAGTTGAATTTGACATTCATTTTAGTTGTTGCTGCTGGTGAAAGTACTCAAGTGATGTGGTTTCTGTTATTTGGTATAGGTCTTTCTAGGAGGTATGAAGGAATGTTGAACGCCCTAAGATTTCGTTTCATCTGCTAAAACATTTTTAACCATTGAGCGAGAAAGGGTTTTTCGACATTCCAGTTTAGACCTGAAGAAGGCATAATTCGGACAATTCTCGAATTGTTGTGCAAAATATGGCGACAATGATGAGGCCAATAGTCCAGGAATAATGTAAATAGTGTACATAATACGTTCATCTCAGAAATATAGACAGATACTGAAGGGCCGAAACGTTGTAATAAATATGGCGACAAAGATGAGGCCAATAGTCCGAATAATGTAAATAGTGTACATAATACCTCATCTCAGAAATATAGACAGTTTCTGAAAGAGTTTGGCCCCAAATATGGCACCCATATAAATGTATACACGACACAAAGAAAACTCATCAATAGTTTTTGCAATCATATTTTACTTTAACAATTTCTTTCTTTTTTTTTCATTATCTGTGAATTGCGATGACTTCTTGGGAAAGATAGTGGAGTAGTTTCTTGATACCTTCTCCACAGATTCCTTTTCTTTGTTATCTCTGAATTGCCATAACGTCTTTAGAAAGATATTGGCGCGGTTTTCCGATTGAATTCAAAATAGGTATTTTCTTAGACTGGCTGCTACCAAAAGCTAGAAAGTCCATTCTGTCTATTCTGCTATTAATTCATAGTTGGGGTGGACAAAGATATAGATAATCCGAAAGGCGTAACTGCGAACGTAACTAGGTTTCGCCTTCAACTCGGAGATTATAATTTAACCGTCCATAC